CAGAAGAAGGATTCTTACAACAATAAAATGTATGGCTATTAAAAAGCAGTTTTCTCAGGAAAGCTTTCAACTTTGAACTGAGCTGGGAGCCCAATAACCAAAAACTTTCTGGTGAAGAAATGAAGACAATGGCAGAAAAGCAGGAAAGCAAATGAAGTCAGGACTATCCCCTAAGGTAAACCTTCCCAGCTACTGCAGTACAGCATGAAGGGTAAACTGGAAGAGTCTCCACAAAAATCCTGGGGATGAAGCTGCCACTTACAGATAATCTGATTGTATTCCCAGGAACTTATCACTCCGAATACTATTAGAGCCAATACAGTGGTAGGCGGAAGCTCTTAAAATAAGTTGCTTTGCTATGCTACTCTTCGGAGATGTGAAAGCAACACTTTCAAAGTGTGGAGCTAGTGCTCTAGGTTAAGCCCAATACAGGTAACTCGTTGCGTTGGAATTTGCCCCTGAAGTGTTCAGAGAAATGTCAGTATTCATTTCGGCTCTGAAAATGCTTGTGAGGTGCCACCCACTGGATAGAACTTCAGAGTGTGAGCCGCTAGAACTTGGTTGAAGGGAGGTGGACCAGCTGGAAGAGCAGCTCTCTTGAGAGAAGTTAAAGGACCCTGCCCCAGTACAGAAGGGCGCAAGATGGAACTGAGGTGGAGTGGAGGGAACGGGTGAAGTCGTACCTTGAGCTTTCTATCAGTTTTGGGATGTGCGGTAGACATCAGGGGAGGTAACTAACACCTTAGGGATGGATGTCCAGTTCCCATTGGCTGGAAGAGGAGGAGACATCAACAGACAAGGCTCCAACTATCCCTATGTAACCAGAGGTTGGCTGAATCCACAGGGCAGCCAAGCTGGTTCACTCTCTTCATCTAGAGCTTGAAGCTCTGATCAAGGACTTTTCCAATTTTAATCCACGGCAGCTTCCCATTACTGAACTCCATTGAAGAAGGATGACTTGAAACCCTCAGTGGAGGGGTGTTTGGCAGACTCGGGTGGGAACCCATCTCGGGGAGAAGTCAGTCTTTCTTTGCCAAAGGTCTTATTTCAAGGGACAGATGGGAGTTTAAAGTAATCCCTTATTTGTTTCTAAAACAACTTCTGAGAGGCCATTAGAGGCATAAAAGGGCAGCAAATACAGCTTTCAAATGCAAACAGGCTGAAGGAACCCCAGTGCACAGAGGCAGCGAGCAACAGACAAGCTCCTGATCTCTTGGGTTCATCAGAAATGCTTGTGAATTCACTCAGAAACTCGAAAAACAATGGGAAAAATTGATCGAGACGAGTAACGTCGCAAGGGACACACACTTGGAAAAACTGTCTGTGTGCACTAGCTATGGCTATGGAAGGAGAGCGGGAGAGGGGGCAGATAGTCAGTTAGAAGTTAGAAAGTTAGGGGCTGGAGGTGGCTCAGAAGTTAAGAGCACTGGCTATTCTTCCAGAGGTATCAAGTTCAATTCCCCACAACCACATGGTGGTTCACAACCATCTATAATGGAAGCTGTTGCCCTCTTTTGGCCTGTAGGCACCAATGCAGACACAAACACTGTATACATAATAAATATATCTTTTAGAAAAAGAAGTTATATAGTTAGAAGAAATGTGGGGGGGGGCAGATAGTCACACTTAAATTTAGATAGAAGGAAATTTCCCTTAATTAGAACACTGACTGCAGATCAGAAGGCCTCAGAAGTGACAAAAAAATATAGTATTTAAATATAATGAAATCTCTAAGTATATTTTATGGCAATATATAATATATAAAATATATATAATAGAGAAAAATTTAAATTTGTGGAGGCAGAAATTACGAATTATCTAAAATAAAAAAACCTAGACATTATCAGATTTCTTCACAAAAATAAAATAGCAGAAAACCGTGTCTTGGGATTTCAGAAATTTTTTTTTCATCTATTTTCCTGATTCAAATACACTTATTGTATCACCTATTCTTATGGGACAATAGTTTTAATCTAAAAATGAATGCCCTAATTATTAAACAAAAACACCACGGCACACCAGCAGGTATATTCCTGTGGTGTTCTGAATCTCATCAGGTTACCAAGATTACCCTTCATAAGACAGGCGAGATGCCTTGGAAAAGAGCTTTTCAGATAAGCCTGTGACTTGAACTGAATCCCTGGAACCTACAGGGGAGGGGGAGAATGGACTCCTGAAAGTTGTCTTTTGACCTTTGACCTCCAGGTGTGGGATATGGGTCACATGCACAATAATCAATAAAGTTTTAAAAAATGTGGATGCAATGATTTATAGTCAGCGTGGATTAAGTTAGCAGGGAAACAAAACCAAGAATTCTGACATTCAAGACAAGGTATTGAGCATTGTGACTTCCCCAAAAGGATGGACTTGGGATTATGAGCCAAAATAAACTTGTTCTCTCTGCAGTGGTTTGAATGGGAACTGTCTCACGTATTTGAGCACTGGTCTCCAGTTGGTGGCAATGTTTGGGGAGGTGGTGCAGCTTTCCTGGGGAAGTGTGTCACTAGGAGCAGACTTTGAGACTAATAGCCTCGAGCCACTTCCGGTTCACGCTCCATGCTTTGTGCTTGCATTTGAGGATGTGGGCTCTCAGCTCCCTGCTCCTGCTGCCTTGCCTGCCGCTTGCCCCTGTGTTACCCTGCCCTGATGGACGTATCTCTCTGGCGTCATAAGTCAGAACAAACTCTTCCTTCTGGAAGCTGCCTCGGTCATGGCATATTTATTTATTTATTTATTTATTGAGACAGGGTTTCTCCGTAGCTTTTGGTTCCTGTCCTAGAACTAGCTCTTGTAGACCAGGCTGGCCTCGAACTCACAGAGATCCGCCTGCCTCTGCCTCCCGAGTGCTGGGATTAAAGGCGTGTGCCACCACCGCCCTGCTGGTCATGGCATTTTATTACAGAAATGGAGATGCAAACCAGGACACTCCCATAAGTTGCTTTTGTCAGAGTATTTGATTACAGTAACAGAAAAGGAACTGATACACACAGCCTTCTACAGCCATTTCCCTGAAGACCTGCCTCTGAACACCACTCACCTTGGGAACCCAGCCTGGAATACATGGACCTTTGGGGAGTACTTCATATCTGAACAATAACAGCTACATCTGCTTGCTAGTCCCTGGAACCACTAGTTCAATATTAAAATTTTGTCATTTCAAGAGTACTACATGAACTTAATTTTGTTATTTATAGTGCTGTGGATCTAACCTAGGGGCTTACATATGTTAAGCAAGCGCTGTACTCCTGAGATGTATTCTCAGTCCTTAATTGAAAATTTTGAGATTGCGTTTTATCTAGGGCAGTGAATATATTGTTGTATTTTCAGTTTGTTCGTTCATTTGCCCATAAAAGTACATTTGAATTAGAAGTTCTGGATAATTTAAATAAAACTGACATGAGCATTTATTTCCATTTTAAAAGATCTATTTATTTCAAATTATGCATATGTATTTTTGTGTGTGTTTGTGCTTGTGTGTGTTGTGTGCATGTGTGAGTGCAGATACCTGTGGAGCCCAGAAGAGGGCGACAGATCCCCTGGATCTGGAGTTAGAGGTTATGTACCATCTGATGTGGGTACTGGAAACCAAACAGACCCTTTGCAAGAGCAGTAAACATTCTCTACCACCTAGTCACAAAGACTTATAAAAATTATTGAGCATTAAACTTGATTGTTTTTATTCAAACTTTCCTCTGAAACTTGGGAGTACAAGTGGGACTAACAGGACTCATACATGGACCTGCCTATGTGTGTCACTTAGAAGCCTGTTTAATACTTGTGATCAGAACATCACAAGTACATTTTCATGTTTGTATGTTTGTATAATAACATTGTAAATAAAAGCCTCATTTTCCTTACTTATTTAATAGTTTATAATTATTGGATATTTGTTTCTAATTTATAACCTAATTAATCATCCTGACACCAAGGACTTGTGTATATGTTTTTACCCTTAATTTCTAAGGGAGTGGGCTGGAGGGAATGGCTCAGTGGTTAAGAGCCCTGGCTGTTCTTTCAGAGAACCTGGGTTTGATTCCCAGCATCCACAGAGTGACTCAGAATCCCCTGTAACTTCAGTTCCAGGGCATCTAATATGCTGTTCTGGGCTCTGTGTCCACCAGGTATACTCAGGGTGTACAGACAAACATGCAGGCAAAACATCCATACACATAAAATTAAAAAAGGCAAAGAATCCCTAAGAGTGCAATTGCTAACTCACATCGAGCATGTACTTAGAGCTTTTGATGTCTATTGATCCATCACCTTCCTTCAAACAGCACACGCTTGCCCCAGAAACTTGTTCACACTTAACATTTTCATTCAGTTTAGTGTGAGCTGATTGAATGAACAGAAAATTGTCTTCATTTTTGGAATATATTTTTTATATTCTTTCATAAAATGTAGGCTTTGAGGGTCTTGATTCATTGTTATTAATTAGCTAGAGTTAATATCTTAATTATATAATAGTTTATTTCATATTTACATATTTTATTTTTGAAGATGATTCTCTTGTTTCCTGATGTATAGTATTTAATAAATCTATCATCATCTATTTGTCTATCTGTCTGCCTGCCTGTCTGCTTCCCTGTCTGTCTGTCTGTCTCTATCTATATATGCTCATCTATTTTGTATCTATAATTATATCAGAACCAGCAATCTAATTCATTTTGGCTCTGACCTTGGGTATTATGCTGCAAGAGCCTCTTCTCTATCCCATCTTATTTGGAAGATGTATAGGTTTTAATTTGCTAGCAGGAAATCCAGCTTTATGTTTAACCTGGAAATTTTTCAGAGTATATATTGTAAGAATAACATCCCTGTAGGATGCTAACAGAGTTAACAAAATAGTCTATGGTCAAATAAATTTAGGAAATGCAAGATTTAGGCAAAGTGATCAGTCTTGCAGTGTATCACAGTGGAAAGTATGAGCTGCAATATAATTAGAAGCAGCAAAACCCCAGGAACACACCTGCTATAAATAGACAGCATATGCGCTAAGCCCACGATGGGGTTCGCATACAAAAGCATGTTAAGCAGCTGTAAAGAAGCAATGAGAAGGCTTGCTCCAGCAGATAATGGTAAGGCCAGCTTGTGTGATCTATTCTGTGTTAAGAAAGGGCCACGTTAGAACATGTGTCTGTACTTAGTTTTAGTCTTAGAGAAACCCTGGAAGGTTCACAGGAGACTGAGAACAGTGGTTCTGTACAAGGGAGTGTGAGCTGGAGGAAGGGAGAAAGACAGCGAGAAACCACTCCTGCCTGCCCTTTTATGCTTCCCACCATTTTCCCACACCTTTGTTTTTAAAACAAGGGGCTTAAATCTACTCAGCTCCAGTGCAGAACACACACCGTGCTCCTCCAAGAGGAGGTGGTAGTGACTTACCCAGAGATCTGCCAGCTCACTTCAGTGCAGAGTTCCATAATACTTCTAGTTATTCAGGTTTCAAACAGCTATGTAGTGAGTCATGATGTGCCAAGTTTTCTTTAACATATTTTATATTTCATATGTTTTATGTAGTATTTTATAGACTTGGATTTCTCTGTAAAGTGTGTTGGGTATGGTTTGTATATTTGTGTTGTGTATGTAGTTTGTGTGTGGTATTTGAATGTGTTTGTGGTTTGTATGTGTTTGTGGTATGTAAGTATGCATGGAGTATATGTATTGATGTGTGTACATATATGGTGTGTGTATGTGTACATGATTCCTTGTTTGTTTTCTTTGTCCTTAGCATTGAGTACTTCAGTATCTGGAAAACGTATTTACTTCTTGTCATTCTTCTACATTATTTTGTTGATACCAAAGTTACTTATTTTTGTTCAACATTTTCTGTAAATAGTGTATATATTTAGTCATCCAAAAGCTTCTCTTTATTTATCACCTAAACTTACTTTTGGAGTTGGTTGAGGAGCTCAAACCTTTATGGAATTATATTAGACAGAGGGAACACAATTATGTTTTTTCTGAGTTTTCAATCTTGCAAGACAGGTTTCTCAATCATTCTCCTGCATCATTCAGGGCGATCCAGGACATTGTGTATTTTCCATCACTTTTATATGGACCCTGACTCTTTCCTAATTATTCCAAGTCTTGTTCTGTTTGTGTTTGAAAGAGATCTCCTTGTTTTCATTTTGTTTGAATTATTTCTGATATAAGCCATGTTTTCTTAAGAGATTAATAGCATTTCAACAAACCATCTTGGCATTTATGGAGATGAATAAGATGCTTCTCTTTGAGCAATTAAGTTAATGAAATATAATAATAGATTTCCTGATAATTCACTAATCTTATTTGCTGGAAAAAAATTCATGCCCAGAAACAATGAATTGTTACTCTACTATAACTTTGAAGTTTTGGCATTTTAGAGAGTTACTGATGCTTTTGTCTTATACAGATATTTGTTTGCTTGCCTGACTTTATATGCGTTACCTGTGTGCAGAACCTGCAAAGGCCAGAAGAGGGTGTTGGAGCCTCTGGAAATGGAGTTATAGATGTTTGTGTGCTATTATGTAGATTCTGGGAATTGAACCCTGGTCCTCTGCAAGAGCAGCAAGTGCTCTTAATTAGTGTTTTCTCCAGTAAATACTTAAATTGGGCTGTTCCTATCTACAGTTGTAAATGGAATTGGTTTAATGGATTGTGTCTGGAGACTTCTTTGCCAGCTGTTCTCACTACGTTATGCCAAAAGCATATAGTAGATGATAAAGCCATGCATACTGTTCTGTACTCTAGAAAGGATTTCCCTGAACAGAAATTTTCATTCCCCCAGTGACTTCTATAAATACATTTTGAAAAGGCACAAAGCAGTTTATAAAAGTGGCCAGCACGAATGTTCTTTGAGGTATGTTGAGGTTTTTGTGTGTGTGTGTGTGTGTGTGTGTGCGTGTCATATAATAATATGTGATGCTTTATGCACACATATGCAGATGCCAGAGGATAACCTTGGGGGTCCTTATCTATCTCTCTTCACTTTATTCCACTGAGACTCTGTTTCTTATTGAAGCTGGAGCTAGGGTGGGGACTATTGACTTACTGCCTTGATCCACCACTCTTAGCGCTGGTATCACAGATGCACATGGCCAAGCCTTGCCTTTTACATAGGTGCTAGGGGTTTGAAGCTACATCCTAATGTTTATACAACAAGCACTCTTACTCACGGAACCATCTCCCCAGCTTCTAAATACAATTCATGAGCAGAATTTTTCTCCCTACTGCTTTCCAGTCTGTGCTGTTTGGTTATCCCTGGCTTTGCAGGCACTTATCTTCCATCTGAATGACCATTATGCCCTCAGGCCAGTTTAAACTTAATCTTCATAGATTGAGAGCAGCTGAATTAGAAGTTGACCGCATCCTCTAGAAAGAATCCCAAGTTGGCAACCCCATCCTAAGGCTCCTAGATTTACACTTTGACCTTTTAATTAGATGCTACTAAATATTTATGCCAGTATTAATCATGTACGTTGCAGAAAGGAGCTCTGCTGACGAGGGCTGAAGGCTGTACTGATCTATGGGTATAAAGATAAGTACTTAGAGGGCAGTCTGATATTGTGTCCACTTGACAAAATGATAGTAGCTCAGGATGACCTGGAGCTCAGGGCCTATGAGCTCCTGAGTCATGGTTCATGGGCAGGTTTACAGTGATAGGCATAAATTCCATACTTTGAAGTATAACCAAACAGAAAGTAGTTGGTGACCCTATGATGTTCATACCGCTATCACACCAATGGACGTATCTTGGCAGTCCAGCCATTATTACAGCTCACAGGGTTCACGGCTGTTGATGACTTCCCTCCCTCAGTAGCCTGCCCAGGATCTTCTGTCACTGTGAAAGCTAGTCAACAGGGAGAAAGCTTCCAGGTTAGAACCAGCTTGATTTCTCTATACCCCATGACCCAAGTCTAACGACTCAAAGGGGGCACCACTTCTGGCAGCTACATTTAAACTACACACACACACACACACACACACACACACACACACACACACACTCCTTATAAAATAGTAAGGTTCCATGATGTAGGTGGGTTTTCTTTCTATGTGTTGTTTTCATTAGTTAATTAATAAAGAAAGTGCTTGGCCTGATAGGTCAGAACATAGGTGGGTGGAGTAGACAGAACAGAATGCTGGGAAGAAGGGAAGTGAAGTCAGATGCCATAGCTCTCCTCTCCGAGATGGATGCAGGTTAGAATCTTCCTGGTAAGCCACCACCTCGTGGTACTACACACATTAATAGAAATGGGTTAATCAAGATATGAGAGTTAGCCAAGAAGAGGCTAGATATAATGGGCCAGGCAGTGTTTAAATGAATATAGTTTCAGTGTAATTATTCTGGGGCTAAGCTAGCCATGTGGGAGCTGGGTGGGACAAAAAGCAGGCCTGCCTGCAGCTCTTTCTACAGTTCTATGTGACTTTTTCAAACAATCTTAGTGTTAGCTATCCCCCTTCCACTTCCTTCTCTGCTCTACCCTCCTATTCCCATTCCCAGTTAATCCTGGCTCCATTACTCTCCTTTCCCCTCACAATATTTGTGTCCCACTAGTCTTGAATTCCACACCAACCTTTCCTACAGTGTCAATGAATTCTTCCTTCTTGGTTTAACAACTTCTCAATGAATCCAGGGGCTCTGGGCTATGTTTAAAATGCAGTGAGTCCTGAGTGAGGTAAGCCAGACCCAAAAAGAGGAGCATGGGATGCACTCACTCATATTTGGTTTCTAGCCATAAACAAAGGACATTGAGCCTATAATTAGTGATCCTAGAGAAGCTAAATAAGGAGAACCCAAAGAAAAACATATAGGCATCCTCCTAAATATTAACCTTCATCAGGTGATGAAAGGAGACAGAGACAGAGACCCACATTGGAGCACAGGACAGAAATCTCAAGGTCCAAATAAGGAGCAGAAGGAGAGAGAGAGCACGAGCAAGGAACTCAGGACCACAAGGGGTGCACCCACACACTGAGACAATGGGGATGTTCTATTGGGAACTCACCAAGGCCAGCTGGCCTGGGTCTGAAAAAGCCTGGGATAAAACCGGACTCGCTGAACATAGCGGACAATGAGGACTACTGAGAACTCAAGAACAATGGCAATGGGTTTCTGATCCTACTGCACATACTGGCTTTGTGGGAGCCTAGGCAGTTTGGATGCTCACCTTACTAGACCTGGATGGAGGTGGGCGGTCCTTGGACTTCCCACAGGGCAGGGAACCCTGATTGCTCTTTGGGCTGACGAAGGAGGGGGACTTGATTGGGGGAGGGGGAGGGAATTGGGTGGGGGGGAAGAGACAGAAATCTTTAATAAATAAATAAATTTATAAAAAAATAAAATGCAGTGAGTATGGGGAAAGAGATGAAACAAATAGCCAAGCCACAGATATGCATAAGTTTCTTGGCCAAAAACCCAAGGCAGCTTGACAAACAAAACAAACAAACAAACAAACAAACAAATACCTCTCTCTCTCTTTGAAGTAATACAAAAAAAGTAGAAAATGCCCAAAGTTTTGCAGAGGTATATTTTCTAATATTTCCTTTTACTTTTCTGCTTCCTTTTCTTGCCAAGCATTGATTTTCCATTGCTGTTATTAATGGAAACAAAGAAAATAAATGTAAAGTTTTAGCTTATTCCTGATAATAGATTTTAAAGGAAGAGAAAAATGCTGTAATATCGACAAGTCATACTTTTCAAAACAGCTGAAAAATTTTTTAATCTCTCTAAGTGTTTGCCTGCATACCATGTGCATGCAGTGTCCATGGAGGCCAGCGTTAGACTCCTGGGACTGGAATCAGGGTTGATTCTAAGTCATGATGTGGGTGCTGGGAACCCAACCCAGGTTGTCTGCAAGAACAGCCAGTGCTCTTGTTAACTACTGAGCCATCTCTCCAGCCTCAGCAATGCCATATGTTTGTAGTCTCCAGCTGGAATTGGCACAGATGTAGATTTATACTAGCTAATATCTCCGTGTTCACTTCCTTTCCACAGCAGCCCCAGGTAATTTGTAAATAATGACACTACATTCTCACATAACCTCCTTTGAAGGCTACGGGGAGTGCTTGAATCCAGACTAGACATGTCTTACTCAAACGCTACCACAAAATTATGTACATAGCACCGTAATTAGCAGGAAATGGCAGATGACCAGAATTAGTAAATGAATTCATGACATTGGAAGCCCCCTAGCTGCCTAAATTGCTTTGGATGTCTTTCTCACTTTTCTTCCTCATTGCAGACTTTGTCTTAGTTGTGGTGGTAGACCCTTCAATGAAGAAAGATTAGTTCATTCACCTCCCTTGTCATTAGGGGCATTGCCCTGGTGCCTCCTGGATCACTGCCACCATGCAGCCATACAGCACAGGCGTGAGTGATCAGCCTTAGCCACCTTTCTTTGAAAAAAATCTACTATACATTTCTTCTTGTCTACTAGAAGCAGTAAGGGGAAGTGTTTCAGACAAAGACTCTTCTTTTCTTCTTTATTCTCTCATCTTTTCTCTGATTTTTGCTCTAGCTGGAAGTTACTTTTGACCACACATGGAATCTTTGTTCAACGCTTGTCAATCAAATCCACCTTTATAGGTTAGGCCACTGTCTTGCTAGAGCAGCCACAAACAAGCTTCTGGGTTGCTAATTAAGGCAGGACTCAATTGCAAATTAGTATTCATGATGAGCCCAAGCTCTCGTTTTGTGACATTATGGCATTGGCATAATTGTCTATTATTGCAGATTGTAAATAAACATCAACAAAAAGCAGTAGAAGAAACCCAGCCTGTCCTCCCGGGGATCCAGGGTTGCAGCTGGAGGCAGTCCACTCTGAAGCTCATTTATCTACCTGCCCATCTATTATTTATTCATTTGCCCTGTAGCTACCTACTGATTAACTATAACCATTAATATATTTAGTTACCTATCAATAAATTATCTGTCTATCTCTCTATCTAGATTTGTACTCCCTCTCTATCATCTACTTATTTGGTTATCAACCAACCATTCATTTGTCTATCTCTTTCTGTCATTTATCATATATATTCACATAGTGTTGTAAAGACAAGCTTAACGACATAGGAAATCATTTATGGCCCGGGAATGATTTAACACAATTATAAAGTGTATGTGAAAGTCTTTAAGAAATTATGGAAAGCTCATTCATGACATAAGACATACATTTTAGCTTTAACGAGATACCATATTTCCATACCAGCTGGGCAAAATTCTAAAACCTTGACAATATACTTCATTGGTATGCAGAGGAGCAGAGATTCTAGCACATTACTGGTGAGAATATACCTTGACACAATTCTGTACAGAGAGAAAATATTAAAATTAAAAATGCACTTTCCACTTTGGTATTTTATACTTTTGATATCCATACATGATGGATGTAAGGTTATTCACAGTGACATAGCCAATAGTTAGGAGCAATCCAATTCCCACCAATTAATGACTGTGGAAATCGTGTTGTACATTTAAAGAGTAGAACTATGTCACTGGAATAAGAGCAGAGAAGACCTTTGTGTGTTGGCACAGAAAGATTTCAAGACATGTTGATAAGATAAAAATTAGGATGCAGAATAATGGTCATAATAAATTGTGTTTGTGTTGTAAGAGGGAGACTATATTTGTGCTGACTCATATAAATATGTTTTCCCAAAATAAATGAGGAGACATCTGGAAGAATATTTATCTGTATATAGGCTGGTTGGATTTTGTCAACTTGACATAAACCAGAGATGTCTGAGAAAGGGACCTTCGGTTTAGATAATGCCCTCATTAGATTGGATTATGGGAAAGTTTGTGAGGGTATTTCCTTGATTAACAGTTGATGTGAGAATGCTCATTCCATGGTGGGTGGCACCGAGCCTAGGCAGGTGGTTTTGGGTGGCATAAAAGAGTAGTTGAGCCAGCCATGAGGTCAAAATAAACCCTTTCCTTCCCAACTTACTTCAGTCCTGATTTTTATCACAGCAGTAGAAAACAAACAAAGACATCAGGTTAGTAAAGGATCAAACAGGCATGACTGGAGACTCAAAGAAGCTTCTGTTGTGCTGCACAACATGTCCCTCTTTAAATAAGATTGCAAATGGCTTTGTGGAAGGTGCATGTCTTTACATCTGCAGAGTTTTGTGGTCCAGAGTCTCCTGCCCATGAAGAGAGCACCAGCAAGGATGCGTCCCTTAAGGACAAGAATTCGCCTTGTCTTTCTTTAGCTGGATGGGAAAACTCAAGGTGAAATGACTCATAGGAGTCAGCGAAGCAAAAACAAGAGGTCCAGTAGATGAGAGAATAGATGAGGTTCCTTCTGATGTGATTGATTCAGAGGCAAGTTCCTGTAAGGAGCGTTAGCACAGGCAGAAGCCACACCTCCCAAGAAAATGCTTCAATTTATTCTGGGTAGAATATTTTGGCTCATTCTAAAGAAAACATCTTCTTAAGAGCTTGTATCAATAAGAATATTTGCATCACATTTAATTTTAGGTTAAAATACAAAATATACAGGGCCCAAAGTAATAAGTCATGTTATCTGTTTCTATGACCAATTTTTAAGCCAACACAGATGCTACAACCATCAAATTCAAGAAGTATAGTAACAGTGTCCTGAATTAAGTTGGCTACCTCTTGATAGACCAGTTGGCTGTCTGAACCATTTTTGCAATGAGCATGTCTAATACTCAGTTCATTTGGGCTGTTTGTCTTTCACAGTTCTTCACTGAATTTGTGTATTATCGAGGAATCTGAATGTTGATTAGCTTTTGAAGTTCACCACGTAGTCAGAAAGTGTTTCTGATATTTTGCACAATGCTTCTATGTAATTAATTTGCTAGCACAAATGACCTATTAGAGGAGTTGGGTCTAAGCATCTGCTCAGCGAACTGTCTACCCCAGCAATGAATCAATGAATGTTGCTTCTATCAGCAGTCAGCATTCAGCAGACCCTTGCCTGGGTTCGGCATTTCATGGGAGTCATCTGCTTCTCGTGTTAGTAACTTGTCTTGTTGCTGTGACAAAATACCTGGGAGAAAGCAGCTTAAGGGAGGAAGGGTATACAGCTTAGTATGGGGGGAAGGGATGGAGGCAGGAGCCTGAGGCAGCTGGTCATACTGCACCCACAGTCAAGAAGCAGAAAGGGATGGATGCTGGTGCTCGGCTTGCTTCTTCCTTTTAATCCAGTCCTGGGTCTTGGTCCATGGGATGGTGCCTCCCGTATTCAGACTGGGTCTTCCTTTCTCAGTTAAACCTTTCTGGAGATACCCTCACACCTAGAGACGTGTTTCCATGGTGATCCTGAATCTTGTCAAACTGCCAATTAGGATTAACCATCACCCTTACTTCTTCCCACATATCTATGTGAAATATACCATCAGACTTTAAGTCTTAAAGGAGTTGACCATTGATGGCTGAACTAAAAGTGATAAGGCTAGGAGCTGATCTGTCACTGAACTGGAGCCAACATGTTCATCTTAATTATCACAATGCCTCAAAGCAAAGTTTCCATCTAGCATCTACTTTGGGATTATTGTGTACTGTGGAAAGAACAATTATTAGTCCTAAAAGAAGAGAATAAAGTTAAGTGCTTAAGTAAGTATTTTAAAATCTCTGGAAATATTGCATAACAAATTATAGAAGATATTGTCACACAGAAATAGCCCTTAATGTGGAAACTGTGGTATGCACTCGAATTAGGTTTGCATTGAAGTCAATGTGTGCATGAATGGCAAATAGATTTTTTTAAAACTTCAAATTGGGAAACAAACATGTTATATATCTCTTGAGTAAATAATCTCAGTTTCTCATAACCCAGAGTCATGCTTTTTTGGGGCTAGCTATTCATTAATCAGAAATTTGACAAAACCTAGAATCATTCAAAAAGAATCACAATTGAATAATTGTCTTTTTCAGGTTGGCCTGTCTCTAAGGGAATGTACTCATTGTTTTAATTGATATGGAAGGGCCCAGCTCACTGTGGGAAACACCATTCCCTGGGCAGATGCTCCTGAGCTATAAAGAAAGCTGGCAAAGAGGGAGCCGAAGTGTGGGTCAGCAATCAGTGTTCTTCTATGTTTTCTGCTTCAGGCTTCTGCCTTGAGTTCCCTCAATGAGGGACTGTGGCCTGGAAGTATAAGCCAAACAAGTCCTATACTTTCCTGAGTTTCTTTTGGTCAGAGTGTTTATTACAGTGATGGAAGTAAACTCTAATGGTGACCACGGGAACATAAACAGTGACAGCACCCCTACCCACACAACCCACAGTCCCTCCTCTGAGCTCCCCAAACTAGGAAAGATGGAGATTCTAGTGCATTGCGTTGAGTCTTGAAGGAAATTTCTAGTGATCAATAAAAACAAGCCACCAAGATGTTCACAAGCAAGCCGCTAAGCATAACTGCTTATTGGTGAAAACCACACAGTTGTGTGGGAAGAGAAGCCTGCTTTGAGTCCAGCTTTAACTTTGCAGTAAGATGAAAGAACTTGCGGGTGTCTTGTAAGCAAGTTAGCAGGAAGTGACCCGACTTCGAGAATATCATGAGAACTTAGGGCAGACCTTGGTAGGTGGAGATTTCTGAAGTATTTTGTTTTGTTTTCCTTTTTAGTGAGAAATGTAAACTCTGAGGTGTTTCCCTCCCTGCCTGGAGGAAACCTGGCTGGATTATGTTCACGGATCTGGTACAGTTGGTGGTGTCATCCTCATTGTCCCACTGAGACCTTTGTTCATGCTGTAGCTTCACGGAAAGATTTATGTTATAGTGTCTCCGCCCTCCCCTGCTTGATGGATTAGATCTCATTGTTGGAGCCTGGTGGGTCATTGTCTCAATCTTAAACATTGCTTCCTTGCAAGCCACATTTCCATGTTCCATGTAACAGACACACCAGAGGGGCTGTGTGACAGAATTTGGAATGCTCAGATCTAAGTGACGTGACAAATACCATGTTTTATCTTCCATTTAGTAAATTTAAAGGCCACACAATTGCTTTGCTATCCGATGAATTTGTCCATAAGTCCTATCTGACATTTAATAGTTCGCAATGTGAGATATGCATCATTGCATCTGATAGCCATGGCACTTGTTTACAGGAAACAGGGTTTTATTTTCTTCCACTTTAGAAAAGAGGAGATTCTGGGATCCCTGCCTGTGGTCCCACGGCTAGTGGCAATTCATAATTAAAAACTCACGTGTTCTGTCTCTAACATCAGTGTTTTTTTTTTTTTTTTTGGTTTGAAAACAATCCTGAAATTGGAGAATTATAGGGCGTTTTCCAAAAGACCCTCCTTTATCCAGGTGCTCTCAGTCTACAAAATGGATGCTCATATAAATTTCACATCACCATTCAACTGGGCAGAGCGAGGAAAAGAATAAACCATTTCAGTGTTGGCTCCAGGGCAAGAAGCATCAGGGAAAATTTCTGAGACATCTTGAAAAAGCCTGCCTGGGACCCGCCCTGCTCCTACAAGACAAGCCAGCCTGCTCGTATGGGCTCTGCAACCCCTAGACACCAAAGAGCCGTCCATGCTCACATCTGGATGGAGACGCCCCATTTCTCACACTGTAAACCCCTGACAGGATATGAATTGATACTTACCTAGAGAACTGCATGAATAAATCATAATGTAAAACACACGCCTCAGAGAGGTTGTATCAGAGGGGAGTGGGGAGCAGGTTACTGGTGAGAAGGACTGGAGTAGAGATGTCCCAACTTCCAGTACGCTGTGCCTGGCACAGTGGCATTGAGAAAACACACATGCTGGCAGGGAAGCATCTTAGATAAAAGGATCAAGAGTGGTGGTGGGGCACCCCAAGAAGTTGTGGGACACTGTTGTCCAGGAACATGTGATGGGAACTAGGTCTTAACATTTTTAATACAACTTTCACAGTATTGGAGGGGGCGTACCCTCCCCAGATAGCAATGGCTGTATCTCACAAATGGCAGGCAAACACAAGTGAAACCTTCATTGATAAACGAACACAGAAGAAGGAAGAAGTCAGGGCAAGTCGATCTCTACTCACGCTTTCTCGTAAGTCCTGTGGGGATGCTCTGGCCACTCGATCATACACACGACTCTGCTGGGCATGGTCTCCGTGGTGGAGTAGTAGCCCTGGGGAAAGGCCAGCAGGAGAGCCAGGACCCAGATGACAAAGATGACCACTTTGGTAGCAGTGGCCGACAGCCGGGGCTGGAGGGGGTGGATAATGGCCATGTATCTGCAGTAGAGAAGAAAGGACAGCATTCTGTCGTGGTGTGATTTTCCTGCCCATTAACCCCCCCCCAGAAATCCATTGGTTCCCAATGATTTGTGGTTGTCTATATGTAGAGACCAGAAGGCAATCCCCAGTGTCCTTCCTCGGAAGCCCTCCATGCTGTCTTTTGAGATGGTCTCTCACTGGACCCAGAGGTTCACCAATTAAGTTAAGCCATCTGGCCATCAAGCTCCAGGGATCTTCCTGACCCTGCCTTCTCAAATGCTTGGGTTATAAGAGTACAGCACCTTGTCTGTTACTCTAGGCCAAAGAGATCAGAGGTAAGAGGATTGGTGGGGTTTGCTGGCTTCCACCCTGGCCAGGATATGAGCTCTGGGTTCAGAGAGAGACCCTGCCTCAGTGAAACAGATGAAAAAGATAGAGAAGGACATCCATGTAATGTGTGCATTTGTGTGCGTGCATGCACACACGCACACACAACCCTGTAAAACAACTCAGGTCCTTGTACTTGCACAGGAAGTATTCACTGACTGAGCTATCTCTCCTGCAGCCCCTCCCAACAATTACTTACAGGTATTTTCTGAACTATTTTTTTAATAGTCTATCCTTAAACTCTGAATTATGATGTATAATACCAAAAGCCCATAAAGAATGTCAGATTTTTTTAAAAAAAATTGATGACCCATCTAGAAATATTCTAAGAAGTGTTTTCATTATTGCTGTGTTTGGAGTGCATATCCGATGGCCAGATACACGTTAGAGACTTAACAATGAGAAAAATGGCATGTTGTAAGCACGTTTAGCATTAAGAATTTTATCCCCGAGGCTAAAAAGACAGCTTAGCAGTTAAGAGTGCTTCCTGAGCTTCCAGATGACCTGAGTTTGGTTTCGAGGCCTCACACTGGCTGTTCAGAACTCACTGTTGCTGCAGCTCCAGGGGATCTGATACCCTCTCCTGATCTCTTCGGGCAATAGCATTCATGTGCACCTATGCTCACAATATGCACATGCATACACTTAATTAAATAAAAATAAGTAAAAAAAAAAGAATTTTGTTCCCTTTTCCCTCCTGAGACTGAACTCAAGACCTCATTCTTGCCAGGCAAGCGCTCTGTCATTGATCTACAACCCCCAACTCTCTCTTTTGTTTTGTTAGATTAAGGGGCGATGCTGATAGGAATGAGCTGGGTGCTGCAGAAGAAGGCTCAGTCTGCAAAATTCTGCTCTGATGGCACCGTGAAGTGACATGGCCTTGTGACCCTGCAGCTTGCGGGCACACACAAATGCTTGATGGATGATGAAAAGAGCCCGGTACATTTTCAGGAGGTGTCCTCCTTAACAGAGTGTGACGGCAGCAGTTTTAAGAGCCCTTACGTGGCATTATAAAAGCTTAGTAATGACCCGAGGGCACAGGAAGAGCTCAGCTGGTGAAATGGCATCAGCTACCACCTGGTTGGCTGAAGTGCGAGTTCACGAGGAAACCCTAGACCTAGTATAAAACACAAACTTCAGAGGGATTGCACCTGAGGGGAGGGGTCACCTAAGACCATTGGAAAGCATAGATATTCAAATATGATTCATAACAGGAGCAAAGTTACAGTTATGAAGTAGCAATGAAATAATTTATGGTTCGGGGGTCACCACAACATTAAGAACTAATTAAAGGGTCACAGCTTTAGGAGGCTTAGGAAATACTGGCTTACTGGGTCAACCATTCTTGGGTCCCCTCAAACCTGTGGTCTAGATTAAAATATGTCATCATGATGAGACTGTTCCCATGACTGAAGCCACGCACAGTCTCTGAGATGCCACAGAGATCTGAGGGACAGTAGATGTGACAATCTGCATTTTGTATCACACAACAACCCTGCCTGTCCCTTAGAAAAGGATCTTCCATGTGTATTAAACCTGTTATGGGTCCACTTCTTTAAAATATATGCTTTCCCCTAAGAGTGGGAATGGCGTTTCACACAGCCTTCAGGGTCTGAACATTGCCCAGCAGTCAGGAATTTCTTGTTTCTGTGGGATGGAAGCCCGATGCAGACTTCAGCAACATGCAAACATCTGCTCAGCTGTCAGCTGGCTCCACACAGCCCCGCGTAATTGTTTTACTGCACTGTTTGGTCTCCGAGGAACTCCAGGCAAGGAGAGCAATTCAGTCAGTATGAGCTTGAACAGTTCTCACCAGGCACCTGGTACGCAGAGCGCAGCCCTGGCTTCCGAAGGCTAAGAGCGTCTGAGCATCTCTCGCGGAGAGCAGGCAGATTCATAAAAGTTACAAATCGTAACAGCAGATAAATGACCTCAGGTGGAAATTGCTCCAATATCTCAGCCCCTCAGGGTCGTTGCAGAGGCAGTCAAACCTCTGAATGGCAGGTGACCTAGGCTCACTGGATTTGGGCTAAGCCAGCAGGGCATCCTGTTCTGAGGAGAGGCAGTGCTTGGAGCCTTCTCCCTTTTCTGGGTCGGGCTTAGGTCTGACTTTCTTGGGGGTAAGTTTGATGTGGACAGATGTTTAAGACTCTGACTTCATCAGTGTTCAGCGCTGGGGGCTGGGTTTTCCTTTTCTGGGCTGCAAGAACAAGGACATTGGCGATACCCTGTGTGAGGAGGCTGGGTGTTGTGACGATGCCTCAGGCCGGCCTTTCTATAAACAGTAAGATGTTATGCGAGGGCTGGGGACATTGGTAAAACAGTTTCCACCTAAGTATAAGGACTTGGGAGTACGATTCTCAGAAGCCACATTATGCGGGAGGTATGGTGGCACACGCCTGTCATACCAACCCTCTGAGGTGTGGTCAGCAGAGTCTTTGCGGCTGCAGCACCCAATGAGAGACTCCACCTCAGAAAATAAGGAAGAAAGATCTGGAGAAAGGACATTATGGCTGACCTCTGGCCTCTGCGTGCATGTGCACAAACACACATGTACCCCTACCCAATAACTCAAATCTAAGACTTTACAAAGAAAGAAGTCATGAATCCCCAGGAAGTCCTGCATCTTTCATCAAGATTCCCCTCCCTCAGCTCCAAAACTGTTCTGGAAGCCATGAAGATGTCACATCTCTCCCAGCCCTGTGCAGACTTTCTCCTCACTGGCAGCTGTGTACTCCCAGGCTTTGAACTAGAGGGAGGCCGCAGGGCAGTGTGTTGTCGTTATAGCACCCTCTTTTAATATGATCTTACATGCAAGGTTTTAATCTGCTTCCAACTCAGGATGAATGTTAAAGTTTAAATAGACGAGTCCCAACGCCCATGCCGAAACTGGTGGCACCACTTAAAATAGATCGCGACTATGCTTTGAGGGTGTGGCTCCAGTGTGCTGGCGACATGCCTCCAAACGGGCGACAGAAAACCATATTTTATCATTACTGCAAACATTGCTGTTTGGAAGCCCATTTTTGCTAACACTATGCCATTCTTTCAGACTATAGCCGTTTTGGTGACAAATGAGTGAATCACATGTAGAAACCCCAAGTTAGCATCAAACATTGGCTTTAAAAAAATAGATTTTTTCATTCATCCAAAAATGTTTATAAATTTCCCTCGCTTTCTCCTTTTTTCTTCCTTCTCTGTCTCTGTCTCTCTCCTTTCTTCTCTCTGGTGGTTTGTGTTGTGTAACACACTCCTTTCTCCCTTGCACAGCGGCTAGTCTCAGTTGGATAACGCCTACATAGACGACAGATATTTCCCTCCCGATTTTCCCTGCCCAGGTTGCATCCCATTAACATGCAGTGCATTTATCTGGATCCACCCTTAAATACTCTTCCTTATTTGATTGTAAGATACCACTGTGCAAGTGCTTCAAGCTCTAGGAAAATACACTTAATAACTATTTAGTGACTGTTAAATGATCACGGGACTCCAAGGCAGCCAACTGAATGTCTTCCTGGTTTGCGCATTAATCACCAGACTGCTAGAGGCAGGGGTCCAGAGGCTGCACAGTGCATGGTTTATGTTCTCCACTTCAGGTTGTCTGTGCCTCACAGAAGCCTATTTGCCAGCTTTTACTGAAACTGTGTGTGACCTCCTAGCTAAACCTGGTCATAGCGCTTTATGAGAAGAAATCCCACGGAGCATCTTTTTAATCCGCGGAAGTATGGCACTGCCCATTTTTACCATGGACAAATGGAAGAGCTCCATTCTCTCCCCGGCATCTCTGTCCTCTTGACTTCCTCTTAGTCTGGTCCCAGATCACTGGGCAGACGTGATCTTCATCTGCAGCCCCCCCAGTGTCAGTCCTTCAGTCTTTCCCAGCATGCTATAGACTTCCTTTAAGGAACCCCATAAGCCCAGAGAGCGCAATGGCTCAGAATATGCTTGTAGATCAAGAACTAACAAACTTCGTAAAGGTCAAAAAGCAAATGCAGGCTTCAGGGTCCATCAGTTTCTCTCATAACTAC